GTCTTGCGCACAACTTTGATGGACTTGGGCCTAGGCGCTAGGATAGTGGCATGACCACCGAGGTCATGGGCACAACTTTGATGGACCAGGCGTTGAGGTCTTGGACCTACACGATGGACTGGGGGCACGCACGCAGGGAATTTAGGCCTCAATGGACTCGGGCTCGGGAGTCGGGTGCCTAGGTACAAGTGTCGGGGTCCGACCTCAATGGACCCGGGTGTGGCAGCTAGGGTTTTGGGCATGGCCCAAATGGAAACGGATTGGGACGTCGAGGTCTCGGGCCCGGCCTCGATGGACCCGGCCCTGACATCTAGTCTCGACCGTGTTGCCAAGGGGCTTGGGAGTGAGCATTGGGGTTCCTGTGTCCAAGTGCAGAGTTCCTTGTCCATACACCAAAATCTAGTCATATTTTGAAAACTGATTTCCTGATTTTTTAAAGGAAAATCATTTTCTTGAATTTGAGCTTCGGCAGAAAAATCTTTTTCATTGATTTAGGAAAATATTTTCCGTTAATTCATTTTTCTAAGCAATCCATACGTCATAAAATTTTTTTTTTGGAAAATATTTTCCGTGAAACAAATGCGGTCCAAATATTGATTTATTTGTACATGGTGGTGTGGCTCACTGGCTCTTGATAGGAAAATTTGAGTTCATTTTTTTTTTCAAAAAAAATTTCAGAAAAAGGCTAATCAAGTCGAATAACTTCTAACATTTTTTTATATAGAACTGACCTGCGATCAAACTCTACTAGTACCGCTCCAAAAAAGAAAAAAACTTTACTAGTAAAATAGATTATCTCCACGAATTTCCATCGTTTTCGGGCCTAAAAAAACAAATCCAATGTCCATACATAACTCAAGCAATATTATTCCGAACATTTCCATCATAGAAAATCACCGGCACGTACAGATCCGCGCAATAAACGATCTACAGACGTCACGTGTGACGTCCGGACTGCATTATTAGCAATCATCATCGGAAATACGACGTCATATATACTGGTCCCGGTTTGTCTTTGCCCAGACAAAAGAAGTGCGAATGGCGTCCGGTACTTTTGTTATTCAAGCCCCTTTGTTGCGTTGCTCTTTTGCTCCGAAGCGACGAATCTGGCGGGCACTTGCATGGGGTTGGACCAGTCCGCTGAGCCCTCGCTGTCGTCGAATGAAACAACGTAGAAGAGCGAAAAGAGAGACCTTACAAAACGTCCTCTTCCACATAAATTTTGGGTCGATTTCCATCACAAGCTTTGCAATCACACGTTCCTCTCGCTCTCGTTCGTTCTGGTTCTGGATGAAATATAAGTGAATCTGAATCGGTTGTGATCGAGAGGCGCCTGTCTTCGCGGGTTGGATTGTGCTTGTCTTGTCCATATGCACGTGCATGCGATGTCGCGGAGTTCATTACGAATCTTGTTGCTTCACGCTCTTATGCCCTTTAATGCATATGATTCGGTTCACGTCGTCGACACCATCGTGCGAATATTTGTCGTCGTGCGAGATCATCGACAGTTCCATGCCTAGTGTAACATCCTAGGCTTTGCGTCGTACGTGTATGGGTATGCATCATTTTCGTGCAAGTTTGAAGGACATATGAAATTCGAAAGAAGAAAATGTTATCCGGATTTTGTCCTGCCATGTCAAATCAACCCGAGCAATAGAAGTTAGCCAAGACTTCTATAGGTGCCTAGAAGAAGTACGTAAACCCGATTTTGGCTCCCGCACTTTCATAAGATTGTTGTATCATGCGAATTATAGAGTTTGTGTAATTAAGTTTTTTCTTAAATGGGGTAGGCCGTAGTAGATAGTAGTGCATATAGTTTTGCCACCGCCTCCTCGTTGTCATAGCCATTATGGTCATGCCACCACCCCTCCCACCACAACTAGAGGTGTGTAAAAAGAACCACCCAGACCAGACTGAATTGGCTGATTTCGGGCTGTTCTTGAGGGCACCAATCCGTTTCTGGTTCCACGTGTGAAACCGTCCACTCGGATCGAATCGATTTTTTCTTTTAAATCTCTTACAGATCTGTAAAGAGCCCTAAACACATACGACTCTTGTCCTCTGCTCGTCTCCTATTGAAAGCCTCGCGTTCCTCGCTCTTTCACAAACCCTAATCGCATTCTTCATCTTCTCGCCTCTTACGCTCTCTCAACTCTCCCTCTCGCCTGTGTCACTCGCGTCCCTCTCGCTCGCCGCCTCCCTCTTGTGGTCTCATCTTGAGTCTTGACTCTCACCTCCCTTTCTTTCTTTGTTTTTAGCTAATCGTGATCGCAAATGCATCTTATCAAGGTAAATATCCAATGCTCTGTTTTTTTTCCCATTCTTTGTACATCATTTTCGATGCTACGTCTAAATCTCGTTTTCGAATTGATCACTGTGTGTGTTCGTTGAAATACCTACATGAAATGCGTGTACAAATATGAAAAATATCCTCACGTATAGTGTCTGGATTTATTGTTGTTCAGTATAAACCGTGCAGTTGTTACCTATATGCATCAAAAGAGAAGCGGGATTAATGATCAAGAAGCTCTACAAATGAAAATGCCATCGATTCCATTGGCCCACCCAAGAACCGGACTGGATCGGACCAGTCGGTTTGGTCCGGTCCGGTTCCAAATTCAGGTGGGCTAGTTCCCTATTCCTGGGTTGGAACCGGGTCACCTGAAAACCAGTCACCCCTAACCACAACTCCTCTCTCTCTCTCTCTCTCTCTCTCTCTCTCTCTCTCTCTCTCTCTCTCTCTCCCCCCACACGAATCCACAATGGTTGATCACTCAAATTCGAGGCTGACCACGAGGGTCGTCCACCGCCGACCATCTCATATTGAGGTCGAAATCGAGAGAGAGATTGGCAAACAAAACTTCTTTCTAATTTAACGTCTTCTGATTTACTTCATCGTTCGTTTCCCTTTGGTTTAACATGTCCTGATAAATGAATTGGCATATTCTCACAGCATACGTAGCGTGGAAATAGAGTAGCTAGAGCTAAAATAAGAAAAACCAAAGTTGCTCTTCTAGTCCTCATCTCAATTAGCTAAGTAGAACATCAAACACATAACAGCATTAGCTTAGAACTAAAATGGATAAAAACTAGATGGCAGATCCATATCTAATTCGACGTTAAATTTTGTACTCGTACATACGTTTGCTTGTTCCTGAAATAAAATAAAATAAAAGATGTGCACCATATATTTGTCCAAGCATTATTTACATCTCTTGTCGATGGGATTTTCCACACAGGCCTTATTATATACATTGTTCACGCACCGTATCATCAAATCAAGTTCAATTATCACATCAATAGAGTCTGCTTAGATCACGATTGGACAAGTTGGTGCCCAGTTCAATGAAGTATTTGGGCTTTCATGCTCTCCTTTGCCTACCCAAAAAGCCCACCCACGTCCCAATTCCTTTTCCTCCCCCAAATCTTAACGGAGCGAGCAATCCCGGGCGCACTCGTGACAGCCCGCCGAAATCGATATACCGAATGATGGGACGAATTCTCATCGGGCCGTTCACGATGGCCCGTTCCACATACCCCGGCTCTTGCGCCTAATCGCGGCATGCCAAGCATCGTTCATCTCGAATAGCAAGTGATTCGACGGCTGTGCTTGTACTACAAGCACATGATTATGAGCATTCACATGCCTTTTCCATTGAGCTTATGCTAGAGCCAAGCAATTAGGGCACATATGACAATATTTCTCTTCCCCGACCTTATTTCCGATTAGAAATAGAAAAATCTATTTCTTTTTCCCGGACGAGTTTCTGAGTAAAAAGTAGCGTTTGATAATGACACAAATTTTCTGTTCATGTAATAGAAATTCCATTGATAGGTTATTCTTAAATTTCTGTTCCTGATTGTGGCGGGCGGCGAAAGCGGCGGCAAGGGTGAGCAATAAAAGAGAGTTGTTATTTCTGTTTCTTTTTCAAAAATAGAAAATTTTAAATCCTTATTTCTATTCTAAATCTATTTCTGGGCCAAATTTTGTCCCAGAAATAAAAAAAAACGAAATTATTTTACCAAATGAATTTATGTTCCAAACCTATTCCCAAAAACAAAAAAATAAAAAAACAGAGAAACAGAATAGTTATCATTCGTGCCATTTGAAACGAAAAAATAGTGCTCAAATTAGGAGAGATATCGAGAAAGATGCGGTGCTTTGATTTTCGAGGGCCGTCTAGCTATATTGCACTCAACTTTTTTTGTCTTACGATTCATCAATTCAAAATTTTACAAGAAAATACATATTTGACCCAATTAAAAAAAGAAAAAGAGCGGCCAAAAACCCCAAATTTATACTCATATGACATATTTACCCTAAACCTTTTTTGTGACACTAAAAACTCCAAACTTTACATATGTGACACATTTACCTAAAAATATTTTTTTATGACACCAAAAACCCTAACTTATATCCGTGTGACACAATTACCTCAAAAGTTAGGGTAAATGCATCACATGAGACAAGTTTGGGGATTTTTAGTGTCATAAAAAGATAATTTTAGGGCAAATGTGTCATACATGTATAAGTTTGGGGTTTTTAGTGTCACAAAAAAAAGTTTGGGGTAAATGTGTCACATGAATATAAGTTTGGGGTTTTTCATGTCCCCAAAAACGTGTGAAGTAAATGTGTCGCAGTAGGCATAGTTTATGGTTTTGGTAGCTTTTTCCCTTGAAAAAAATCCTTTCAATTTTTTAATTTTTATCTTTGCTTGGAGAAAACGAAAAGCATCCCGACGAAAATCCCTCGTAATCTTTCAAGGCCCAGGAGCTATTGGGCCCACCAAGGGCCCAAACCACGGGCGCCACGCACGGCGACCTAAAAGCAAAGCACATAATTATTCCTTTCTTCTGGAAAACGGAGCCGCGATCGATTTCGACCGTCGATTCGAGCGTTGGGGGCGGCACGGGGACCGTCGGTTCGGCCCCCAGTAAAAAAAAAAAAAATACACAAGGGACCCAGTGCGTTTGAGAAAGTACTAGAAGTTTGCGGGCAGCGCATAAAAGCACTGAGCAGAGAGAGAGAGAGAGAGAGAGGCAGAAGGGAAGTGACGACGCTCGCGCTGCATTTCTGCCGCTGCTGCTGCTGCTGCTGCTCGCTCCTCCTAGGGTTTCTTTCTCCGGCTTTCCATTTCGGGCCAACCATGAGGTAAGCTTCGTCCCTTCTCGGGTCCTCCGTCGGCATTTCCTTCTCGGTACCTCCGCTTTGGGGCGCGCCTCGTGTATGGATCCCTTCAGCCCTAGCTCTTATTTAGCTCGGACCGCGTCGCCGATTCGGCGTCCGCCGCGTGCTCCGTGGCGCGTTGCTCCGGCCGATGATCGGAGCGTCTGGTTGGACTGTCTGCGGTTTTTGATCGACGTTCGTCGGTTTCGGTTGTGGATTGAGCTTGATGCGAGGGGAAAAATTAATTAGGGCTTGTATTTTTTTTTGACTGAACGTGTTGTGTCTGGAGAACGAAAAGTTTTTTTTTTTAAATTCTTTTCTCGTTTTCCTTTTTAAACTTGGCAATGATATGGAATTTTAGGCAGGCAGTTTGGTAAAATGGGAAAGGCGATTAATTTGCTCTGGAGCGGTAGTTTGTTTTGTGGACATGGTTGTGTTTTTTTCTCTTTGTTTTCCTTTTTAAAGCTTACGCAATGATGTGGGTAGGCAGTTTGTACTTGGTATAATGGGAATTGGGATTGCTTTTCTCTGAAGCGGTAGATTTTTTTTTTTTTTTTTGTGGGAGCGGTCCTGCTTCTGGATGTCTGCGCTGATTCGGGTGGAGTGCGTGAGAGGACTTGCTGAGATTTCTCTCCGTCAGGGTTTATGGGTCTAGGTCCCTTTAGTGTGCCTCTGTGGTGTTTTCCTTTAGCTTGCTTTGCATATGGACCTCTTAGGTGTAATTGAATCTCCAACTGTTGGGGAGTTATTTGCTTATAACACACGGCTTCGGCGATTGGGTTAACTCTGTTATATTGGGATTCGTATACCGTGCACGAGTTGTTGAAATTTGTCTGTTTTTCGTTTTCTTCGATTGACCTCTACTTATAGTTTGTGTTTTTTTCTCTTTGTTTTCCTTTTTAAAGCTTACGCAATGATGTGGGTAGGCTGTTTGTACTTGGTATAATGGGAATTGGGATTACTTTTCTCTGAAGCGGTAGATTTAATTTTTATTTTTTTTGTGGGAGCGGTCCTGCTTCTGGATGTCTGCGCTGATTCGGGTGGAGTGCGTGAAAGGACTTGCTGAGATTTCTCCCTGCCAGGGTTTATGGGTCTAGGTCCCTTTAGTAAGCCTCTGTGGTGTTTTCCTTTAGCTTGCTTTGTATATGGACCTCTTAGGTGTAATTGAATCTCCAACTGTTGGGGAGTTATTTGCTTATAACACACGGCTTCGGCGATTGGGTTAACTCCGTTATATTGGGATTCGTATACCGTGCATGAGTTGTTGAAATTTGTCTGTTTTTCGTTTTCTTCGATTGACCTCTACTTATAGTTTGTTGCAACCTTGTAGTCGGCATCCAGAATTGAAGTGGGCGCAGAGGAAAGACAAGGTCTTCCTTACAGTGCTTCTGCCAGACGCAAAGGATGCGAAGGTCAATCTTGAGCCAGATGGCATTTTCACCTTTTCCGCCAAGGCTGGAGCTGAAAACCATCCTTATGAGCTGAAACTGGAGCTTTTTGATAAGGTCGATGTGGAGGTAAGGAGGCTGTAATTGCTTTTTATAATTCATTTTCCATTATATACCGGGCATATGTTCTTATGCATCTGTTCAGCATTTCATTCAAATGTGGCCGTGATCTGGATGCTGCTTTTAGCTCAACCTTTTAATGGTTGCCATATTAAGCTGCTTTAGTGCGCTACAATTTTCTTTGCCGTTGTTGGTTGATGGACATCACTGCATAATACCTGAGCGATTAAAACTCTCTCTTTCTCTCTCTCTCTCTCTCTCTCTCTCTCTCACTTGCTCTTGTTTGCTATATTGGAAGCTTCCTTGATTAGTTTAGAAGGCGAATTGTGCATTAACTGTCAGGTATTGGGATGCCAAGCCACGAAATAAAGTTATTATTGCTTCTTATGTGCTATTCTTTCATTCTTTTTATCTAGGAGAGTAAAATCAATATTGGAGTTAGGAACATCTTCTGCATATTGGAGAAGGCAGAGAAAGAATGGTGGAAAAAGCTGTTGCGAGGAGATGGCAAGCCCCCTCACTATGTCAAAGTAGACTGGGACAAGTGGGTGGATGAAGATGAAGACACTGGTGGTGGTATAAATTCATCAACGCTTTGTTTCCTCATCTTAGATGGGTTTAAGTTGGTAAATACTGATGTTTTGACTGTTTCTGAATAATATAGGTATGGGTGACTTGGATCTCGGGGGCATGGACTTCTCGGTAGGATATTTTTGACCTTTTGAATTTTGTGTGGTAGATCTTGATCGACTTTGTTAACTAATTTCTGATTGCAATTTTCAGAAATTTGGTGGAATGGGAATGGGAATGGGTGATGACATGCCTGAGGACTTTGAAGACAGTGATGATGAAGGTAATGATGTTCTCTTTTATGGACATAGAATTGCATTTCTTTTATTTACGAATTGTTTTGATGATGAATTGTATGACCCTGTTCTTCATATGCGATTTCTGCAACGTCAATCAATGTTGTTTTCAGAGACATTTATGGTCATTTTCATGCAAAATTTTCCTGTTGGCTGCTGTTTTACTTATGGATGAATGTTTGTGTGGTCTTCTCTTATCAAGAAGTTGCAAAGCCGGGCGAGTCAAGTGCTGGTGAGGCAGAAGCAGCTGCAAAACAAGAAGATGAAGAAGCCGGGAAGAAGGAAGTCAAGGAACCCAGTACATGATTTCCATAGTAGCTAGGAATGTCATGGTGTTACAATCTTGAATGTAACAGTTTCCGGATGATTTTTCCAGTATCTACTGGTGGGTTGATGTCTGTTTTTTACCTCACATAAATCATGATGGTAAGCTATATTTGGCAAGTAGCGGCACCTCATAGGTAAAATGTTTGATGAGATGTTTGACATTGTATTTGATTGTGACTTGATGGTTCATATGATTTTCCCTTCTCTGCCCTGCGGGAACATTTCCAGTATCAACCCACCAGTATCTACTGGTGGGTTGATGTCTGTTTTTTACCTCACATAAATCATGATGGTAAGCTATATTTGGCAAGTAGCGGCACCTCATAGGTAAAATGTTTGATGAGATGTTTGACATTGTATTTGATTGTGACTTGATGGTTCATATGATTTTCCCTTCTCTGCCCTGCGGGAACATTTGGGCTCTGGTCTCTTATATTGACCATGCGTTACACTACTGCTATTACCCAAGTGTAGTGTTTAGGGTTACTTGCAGTTTACGTTGAAAAAGAAGGAACGGACTATATTCTCTTGTTTCGCGTGGGGAGGTGAGGTCAAACGACATTATGGTGGAGAATGTAGAAGTTTTGACTTCAAAAGATCGTTTCTTTCCCAGGCAAATTCTTTGGAACTTCGGTGCCCACAGCGCAGTATCGAGTCTGCTTGATTCCATTACATAATGTATGCGATCAGTGTTGAATGTTGGTTGCATTTTCGAGTTTTGCCGAGCTTATTTTGGGAGCATGGGAAAAAACAAGAATCCAGTTGACAACAAACGTCATTTAGGGATCCGTTCACTTTCTTCATTCCCGAACGAGTGCATGTTTTGTACATGTAGTAATGCAGATGCCCGAAATGTCGTAACCGGGTTCTGTCTAATGCCCGTATCACTCACGAAACCTGGCGAAAAAAATGCAAAAATCATAGCATTCTTATCCATATTTCTGTTCACAATAATGTCACAGCATACGCCTCTCAAGTTTGATAATCTGAAACATGATGGCCCGGCTCCGAATAAGCGAGTCTTGATATTTGGATAGTACGTGTAAATGAGCCGAAGAAGAACGTTCCGAAACACTTGCAAAGCAAAAAGGAAGAGGCGCCCTTAAAATTTGATAAGAAGAACAGGGAGAGGGATCCAAGATCCAAGAGAGAAGTGGGTCCTCGGACCCGGCACGTCAACCGAGAATCCGAGGACATAAATCATGCGATCGAAATCAAAATCTGTCGAAATCAAATAGCCGTTGCGATCTCAACGGCTAGTCCACGACGAGCACTTTCTCTCTCTCTGTCTCTCTCTCTCTCTCCTTTACGAATTGAAAATCGGTACACACTCACTGCTGATCCTGATCCCAATTGATCCCAATTGATAAAAGCAAACGCCCCATCACCTGATTCTTCCCATCGCCATCAATCTCTCTCTCTCTCTCTCTGCTGGTCTCAGGTTTTTCCAGATCTTCTGCTAGTTGAGAAAAGGTAAGAGTTTGCTTGTTCTCACAAATTGATTCGAAAGTTTACTCTTTTGAACTGCACCCGATTGTTTGCTTGAAGAAAATTTAGAAACAAACGAAACCCTCTTGGCTAAAGTTGGGAACAATCACACATTCGCACTCCGATTCACATAAAGCTACTTGCGAGTCGCACTTAGGCACCATTTCTTCGCGTTTTGCTCCCAAATTCCTGAATCAGCTTCTTTTCTCTCAAAACTCAAGAGGCAGAACGCGTTTATTTGGTTTTTCTTTTTCCGAAAAATGGATGTTTGAGTATCATGAGAAGCTAATTTCAACTGGGTTTTGTTTTTGCAGATGAACGACTTAATGACAAAATCCTTCATGAGCTACGTTGACTTGAAGAAGGAAGCCATGAAGGACCTTGAGGCTGGCCCGGACTACGACCTCGAGATGTCGGCGTCTACAACCCAGATGGACACCAACATGGGGCTCTTCCTGGAAGAGGCGGAGAAGGTGAAGCAAGAGATGGGCCAGATCCGTGAGGTCCTGTGCCGGCTCCAGGAATTGAACGAAGAGAGCAAGACCCTCCACAAGACCGAGGCGCTCAAGTCCCTCAGGAGCCGGATCAACGCGGACATTATGGCGGTCCTGAAGAAGGCGAGGGCGATACGGTCACAGCTGGAGGAGATGGACCGTGCTAACGCGGCGAACAAGAGACTCTCGGGATGCAAGGAAGGGACCACCATGTATCGGACCCGAGTGGCAGTGACCAATGGGCTGAGGAAGAAGTTGAAGGAGCTGATGATGGAGTTTCAGGGGCTGAGGCAGAGGATGATGACCGAGTATAAGGACACTGTGGGCAGGCGGTATTACACGGTGACCGGGGAGTACCCGGATGAGGAGGTCATTGAGAAGATCATTTCTAATGGTAAGTAAGTCCAGGTTTTCGGGTTTGATCTGTGCTCATGTTTCCATCGTGTTCATTTAGGATTTATATCGTATGCAGTTAATATTGTGGAAGTCTTGTCATATGCTATAGCTGATTCTAACACGGCCTAGTTGGAGCGAGGAATTAATGCGATTTGGTTCAGTGAAGCAAATCGTATCGAAACCCTCTTTCAGCCTGGTGGTTGAACTACTACGAGTTACCTACTATGTATTAATTTTGTATTTCGGTTATAAAATTTAAAGGGGGCAGAAGAATTTTGGCCGTTTGACTTGCTATTAGATCAAATCGAGATAAGTTCCTTTTTAGGGTTTTCAGTAAAATCTTTGTTAATACTAGGCCAAATTATAGTGGAGTTTTGTTTGACAGTAGATCATTCTTTAACAATGGATGAAGGACTTCTCATGAATGAGATTTGATTTACTGGTTATGGGCGATACTCTGCATTAGTCTGGTTGCTGTCTTTGATCGGGCCTTTGTTCGCCTGTTTAGTTTAATTTCGTGCCACCCTATTAAGTTTTGCATTAGATCTTCTCAAAATATAGCTACTTGATTGCATGTGATTAACACTTGAGTGCTTTCGCCGCATCAGGAGGTGAGGAGCATCTCAGCAGGGCGGCACAAGAGCACGGGAGGGGCAAGGTGGTGGAGACAGTAGTGGAGATCCAGGACCGATATGACGCGGCCAAGGAGGTGGAGAAGAGCCTGCTGGAGCTGCACCAGGTGTTCCTGGACATGGCAGTGATGGTGGAGGTGCAGGGCGAGAAGATGGATGACATCGAGCACCACGTGATGAACGCCGCACACTACGTCAAGGACGGCACCAAGGACCTGAAGACCGCGAAGGATTACCAGAGGAGCAACCGGAAGTGGATGTGCATCGGGCTTATACTTCTGCTGGTGATTATCCTGGTGATCATCATTCCAATCACCACCAGCTTCAGCCATTCTTGAAGTGCTGTTGTCCTTGGAGTTGGAGGATGTAATGCCCCGTGATCCGTCTTCTGCCGTTCTCAAGGTGTGTGATTGTTGTTGGAGTTGGAGGATCTAATGCCCCGTGATCCCGTCTCTTGCTTGTTTTTTTTAATCTTCTTGTAAGATCTCTAAGATTGAAGTGATTTGATGTTGCAGAGAGAAATTAGTCCTTCCTGTTGGGACTAAATGAAGTGTCCTTTGTATTGTAATTCATTCATTCTTTGTGATATGACAACCATAGGAAGCTAATGTTCCGCTCTAGGAGCTTGAGCATCATCTGCACTAATGGCTTCACTCATATTGTTCCTCAGCACAATTACTTCTTGTTTCGATCACCATGATACTGCGTCGGAATTCGATTTTCATGGGTCGGGGTTCTTTGCCGCATTTTCCGAACCCGACCCTTTTCTTCTCCTGCTCATTTACTTTTGCTTTCATATAGTCCCTGACAGTATGTGAGGTACTTTACTTGTGCACAAACTTTTGCTTAGGATTTGAGCTTAACAGAGAAGCCATATCTTGACATACCCCAGTTTATTTCAAAGATACGAAGTGCTCTATATGATATGTGTCATGCATACATTTCAATTTCAGAAATAAGATAATAAAATAAAAATAATTTCTCGGAAATATATCACTCCTTTTTTTATTTGTTTACCATATCACCAATATCTATTTCAGAAATTACAATAATTAAAATAAAAAATTTCTATAAAAAAAAAAAGGAAAATATATAAACCACAGTTGGACACCAAAGTGGGAGTTTGGAGTTTCCGGTGTGGGACCATGCACAATGTCGAATGCCTCCACCAAAACGGCAAAACCCTAAAACCCTAAATCGAGCTCCTCCGTCAAGAAGGCAGCTGAAGAAGCTAAGCTTGAACGGAGCTCGGAGAGAGCCACAAAGATGGAAGAAGCCGCCATGGACATGGACGTGGAAGTGGAAGTGGAAGGACGCTCTCCTTCCTCCAGCTGCGCAAATCCGAGCGACTCTTCCTTCCGAAGATTCGGGCTCAGAAACTCGATCCAGACCAACTTCGGCGACGACTACGTCTTCGAAATTACTCCCAAGTGCGTAATCTTTTCCATTCGCCAGCTCAATTTCCCTGTTCGATTCTCGCTGAAACTCGGAAATGATAGGACGCGAATCGAGAAGTGTGTTAAATTTTCCAACTTGCGAGTCGAAACGAGCAGCTGGCAGTGTTGGTTTCTCGTGATCTCTAATTAGGGATTTTGATTTATGCGTCGAAGGTTTGATTGGTCGCTGATGGGGGTGTCGTTGTCGTCCAATACGGTGAAGCTGTATTCCCCGACGACGGGTCAGTACTGTGGAGAGTGCAGGGGTCACTCCGATACCATCAACGGCATTTCGTTCTCGGGGCCGTCGAGCCCCCACGCCTTGCACTCTTGCTCTTCTGATGGCACCATCCGAGCTTGGGACACCAGGTCTTTTAAAGAGGTACTCATGTGTGTGGCTAGCCCGCTTGCGCGTTGTAAGGAATAAGGACATTGCTAGAAGCCGCTTACTTAGTGCTGTATTTTGTCCTAATTGGGTAGTTTTGCATAATTGAACAATGCAGGTTTCTTGCATACGTGCCGGGCCATCACAGGAGATCTTCAGCTTTTCATTCGGTGGTTCCAGTGACAGTCTTCTTTCTGCTGGATGTAAATCTCAGGTTTGCTTCGTTTACTGCACAAGGAGGCAATTTTATCCTGTCTTTTGAGATGACCTTTTGCAATGGGAAGTTTCTTCAGCTCATGAAAGCTTCCACTTGGCTCATGTTTATACTTGATGTATGCTTGTGATGCATTTGGCCAACACTTTTTTGCTTCTCAACCTTTCTGCACCCCTTTTTCGTGTGGGGGCGGACGACATGCAAATGACATTGGGCATCATCATGTCATGAGCTCAAGCGAACTTGGAAGACCTTTGTGTTGTGGCCCGGATAGCAAGCGCTTAGACTATGTGTTGACTATCGCGTTCAGTAGTGATCATCGCAGGATGGACTGATGGTTACAAGTTTGAGATCAACTTTGAATGTGTTATGATTATCTTTAGTGTACTAAATTACTAATTATGTTCCTTCTTCTTTTGTATGCGCCACCAGATACTCTTTTGGGATTGGAGAAATAAAAAGCAGGTTGCATGTTTAGAAGATTCCCATGTGGATGATGTTACCCAGGTTTGTCCTTATGCATGCTCAGTATGTTCTTATGAGCTCAGTGAAAGAAGATTTGTTGTCCAAATATATATCACAAGGCATGGGCTTGTGTCATCATTTTAGTTAGTTACATCCTTTCTACTAACTCCATGCTTCTTATTAGGTTCACTTTGTCCCTCACCATCAAAATAAGCTTATTTCAGCTTCAGTGGATGGGCTGATATGTATATTTGATACGGCTGGAGACATCAATGATGATGATCATCTGGAATCGGTAGGTGCGGCTGTTAATTTTTAGTATTTTAATAAACTTGGACGTTTGTGTGGGATTGATTTTCATGTATATATGAGCAGTGTAGGGTGTTTAACATTTTTAAGTCGGGTGAAGGTTGATTTGGTTGGCATTTGATGCCTGGGGTTAGATAATGCAAAATGTACAGAATACCCTCTACAAGAATATTTGGCAGTGGATGCTTGGTGATCTTGGGTTTGAATTTTATTTGGTTAATAATTTTTGTTCAATACAATATAATGAGTCATAAGATAGTGCTTGTTCTAACCCAAACGGAGAGAAAATAATCTTACTGCATGAAATGAACGTGTTGCTACTGACTACGGTATGAAACAAGATTTGGATTTATTGCTAGTGTTTAAGGAGTTTTTTTTTTTTGTAATTTTTTTTTTGGTCGAAAGTGTTTAAGGAGTTAACTACAATATTTTGATTCAGGTGCTTTTACCTAATTACCTCTTTGGTGTTTATTCTCTTTTTGCACTGCTCTTCTGATTTTTATGTATTCTGAAGCACCCAATTCTCGGTGCCATCTACTTAAATGCTTGATCTAGAATGCTATAGCTCAGCCAACTTCTTTTACCAAGTTTATGTTTGTATATTTATTTAGGTGATTAATGTGGGAACTTCAATTGGGAAAGTGGGGATATTTGGACAGACATTCAAAAAGCTCTGGTGTTTGACGCATATTGAGACCTTAAGGTATCGAATTTCTTTTTGATGAACAGTGGCAGCTTCCATTAGTCCTCTAGAAATGGTTTTGTTGGATTATAAATTATAATTTTTAGGATAAGCTGAATCATACCATTTTATGTTGAGTTTGCATCTATCTAGAGAGGGTCTGGGTATAGAAAAAACGATAGACTAGGCACGATTTAGGGCCAGTGAGTTAAACTAGGCACATAGAGTTCAAGTTCAAATCTGATAGACAACATAAGAGTTATTGTTATATCAATTTCTTGTAAGTAGGCATCTGAATGCAATAGCTTTAAAGGACATCTTTTATGTCAAATGCATAAAATCTCATAGGAGACATTGCTTTGAGTCCTATAGTGATCATATATGTTGACTTGTCCATTGGATAAGCTGTTTTGCATATTAACTTTGAATTGTTGCCTCTCCATAGCGTTTGGGACTGGAAAGAGGGAACAAATGAAGCCAACTTTGAAGATGCCCGAACATTAGCATCTGATAGCTGGTCACTAGATCATGTAAGATTCTTTTTTTCTGAGCAGTCTCTCTCTTTCACTTGTTTATAACATACTCGAATGGTACCATGTTAAGAGCTGGAGCTGTAGTCTAGAAAGCAACACTTGCCAGAAATGTGGGCTATGGAGCAAAGCTCACTCTGAAAGAGAACTTACTATTGGGATGATGAGTCAAAACTATGAATTTTTTGGCTCCCGTTAGGCAAATGATGTTGCACATAAGGCTCATTTGTTTCAAGAAACCATAGCTGCACTAATATATTTCATGCTTGAGTGCGATTCTTTGCCAAGCTGCGTAATGTACTCTGTACTAATGGTCCTTTTCATCATTTGGTCTTCAGAACATTGTTGGACTGAAGCAAAATTTAAAGTGTTCTATCTTTATTATACTTTCTGCATACTTGGATACTGTTCCACTCTATTTCTGCTTTAGTCTATTGCTTGCGTAAATGAAGGCCTCTTCACTTGCTGCATGAATCTCTATTGAAGGGAGAAGAGTGCAATCTTAATACATGGGAACTTACAGAAGGTGAAAGAATAGGGAGGTTAAAGTACTAGAAAATTATCTAGAGCATGAACACAGAAGATGTTATCTAGAAGAAAATCAATTCAAGCTTCCACTGATTTGTCTACAATGGAAATGCGCCTCATCGTTTCACATCTAGTTCCCTTGGTTCTTTTCATTTAAAAATGTTTGCAGTGTGTATCTAGATCTAGAAAAATAGTGGCACATTCCTATGATTGAGTTTGTCACATTAGTTTTGGTTGATGTATCCCTGCTTAACTTACTTCTTCTATAGCTGGAATCATATCAGGCATAATATCAAGTCTGGGCATAATTTTTGCCTGTCTGATCTGAAGCGAGGTCCTATATGTTCTTATCCTGTGTTTGCAGGTTGATTATTTTGTAGACTGTCACTCGGCTGACGAAGGTGAAGGTTTGTGGGTTATTGGTGGCACGAATGCCGGGACTTTAGGATACTTCCCTGTAAGGTACAAGGGAGGAGCAGCAATAGGATCCCCAGAGGCCGTTCTTGGAGGTGGCCACTCAGATGTAGTTAGGAGCGTATTGCCTATGTCGGGCGTGGCAGGGCCAAGTCCCAAAACCCGAGGCATTTTCGGATGGACAGGTGGCGAGGATGGTCGCTTGTGTTGCTGGCTTTCTGATGACTCTCCCGCTACAAGTCCATCGTGGATGTCCAGCAGTCTGGTTTTAAGGTCATCGAGAAGTCACCACAAGAAAAATAGGCACCATCCTTACTAGATTTTCGTCAGATTTTACTTGTTTTGTTTTCGTGCATCACCCCGCATCAATGATTGTCAATGCGATCAATATGTGCTGCCGACCTGTATTTGATTTATTTTTTGTAATACATTACACAGCGACGTGTGTTCTGTATATATATATTTCCCCCGTCATTAAGTTCAAACACCCTTTAGCAGGATGAACGCGTCTTAGAAGCTTGAAGATGGACTCTAGCTTTAAAAGCACTGATCAAAATAAAACCGCTGAAATGAAATGCCTTGGTAAGAAATTTTAGGAAACAAGAACTAGTTTTTACCGTTAAAGTAGGTAATCTCTCTTTTTTGCCGGGTGAACCTGATAACAGTGCACCCACTGTTGAATACACTATTCTTAAGTTGAGAATAGACGATCATATCTATGTAAGTAACAACATGACTAAACTTCATTCAACAATGACGACATCAAAATGTCGGTTGAGTAATACTGCAATACTGATAACTTGATCGAAGCATCAACATGTTTCACTCAAATGCTTAATTACTTGAAAGAGATATTTTAAAACAGAAAGGAAAGAAACGCCAAAATCTTGTACAACATCGATCGAATCTGCCACTAGACACCGCCTTTACTAGATCAATCCCCAAGAACGAGATATCAGAATAACTGAAGCTGAACATTTCACATAAATTTCGGGCTGATGATGCCTCCAAAAAACGCAGCAAACTTGCCCAACTTGCAACATCTCAGTCTGTTCAGCCACGGCCTCGCCCTCCTCCTGTCACAGCAAAGCAGAATCCTTAGTCCATACCCTAGAATTCTTTATCTAACAGATAGGCTCAAGTGTTAGGCTCAAGTGTTGGCCTATTCAACTCATAAGTGAAAATATACAGTTCAACACCAAAATAATGATGCCATTAAGACAAATTATGTGCTGGCAAAATATAATTACGGTTCAAATTCAATAATCATGTATAAACTTTGCAATATGCTTTTAGTCAGACGCAAGGACGAACATAAAAGTCTCATTGTCATTTTATTTTGTTTCTTTTTTCCTTCCTGTACTTTTTTACCCATCTCTGCACAAGAAAGATCTTACCTCTGTTTCCACTTCCCTTCCCACCAGGTCCGCCTTTGCCTCGGCCTCCGCCAGGACCCTTGCTGCCCCCATCCTCAAGCCCACGCCCGATTCCTTTAGCTGGCCTTCCACCAGGACCATCCTCTCTGCCTCTTCCTCTTCCACGCCCGACACCAGGTGGCTTTCTATCTGTACAAAGAAATGCAGACAAAGTTAGAGCAATCTCAACTTGTTTTGAAATCAACACAAGCAAAATAGTACGCAAAGTTTCTAAGCTAAGCATTCGGAAGAGTCTCTAAAGAAAATTTTAGAGAAGATACAAGAAGGACATTCAGAATGGGCTTATCTCGAATACCAGTGTTTTTTTTTTTTTTTTTGGTAAGGTCAAATACCAGAGTGTTTAACACGGTCCTAAACAAGAAACTTGGAGACTTTGGACTAAAGCTTTTTGCACGCTTATATCATATTTACAACAAAAAATTCGCGCAGGAGTATTTATTTGTTCACTTGTCTAGGATTCAGTTAGGCTATGTAAACAGTTTTTCTCCTAATTAGCTGAAACATACCTGAGCGACTCTTGGTTTCTTCCTGCACTTTATCAATTACCTGAAAGGAAAATCAAACTGGTCAGGTGACAAAAGTACATAAAACAAATGAAACAAACTAGGACAGACAAAACCAGTAGGTCTAGTCATTGTTTGGTGAACCTCGAGCAATTAGTTTAGAACAAAAGAAACCAGCAAAAAGCCGCTAAAGATAGCTCAGGAAAAATTCAGATACTTTTGCATTCTGTCTGATTCTTATAGTTGAAGAGGATCTTAAGATGGATCATTGTCCTAATAGTAACTTGCAGCTTGTACACTTTTAAAAACCGTAGCAGTCATCAGGAAACTGATGAACTTAAACTAATGAGCAACCCCTAGTATCATCTATCAAGAAATTCGGATCAGCCAATAAGCCTTCGAGGCAATATACAACTCTCCATAATAAGCTATAGATAACTACATAAAACCATGTGAATAATCCATGTAAAATGTACCATTGTTGCAACTCCTCTAATGTAAAACCAACTTACCTTCAGGCATGATATCATGATGAATAACATGGATAAATAAAAACTACCATGGCTATTAAGAAACTCGACTTCATCTAAACACATAATCTTCCAAATTATGAGAACTTTGAGGCACACTTACCTCATCTGGAACTCGGAGATACTTAATTGTATTTCCACGGATATAGCACTCAGGCATTCGCCAAAACCTATCTCCATCCTGCAGAAAAAATCAGGATATCATACATTATTCCGATTTTTCCTCATTTTGTTGGAAAGGGGAGAGGATGAACTACATTTTTATTAAAATAAGGGCATTAACATGATCATGAGTAAGGTAGGTTAAAGTTGTAAATTACTTTGGAGGTACAAATGACTTCACGGAGATGGATGTTCATCCAAGTATCACAGTTGACCAGATGTCCATTGTAAGTCTCTCCATTCTTCAGTTCCACCAACTGTCAAGATGCCAAATCCAATTTTACTCAGCTCCATCTCAAAGCATGATATGGGTCATACAAACACAAACTAAACCAAAATGCTGCATATTCCAAATGCAAACACGAGAGAGAGAGTCATTCTTACCATGGGGTGGCCTTGCGCAGTCTTGAGTAAAGAAAGTGGAAGCTGCAAACATCAAGGGACCACACATGAGAATTCATACAGCATATTCTTTTAACTTCTGCGCTATCATAACTCTTTGGTGGCCAAGAGTCACCGAGCAAGAGACAAAATTTCGACCACCAAATTACTCCTCCTTAATCACTCAAAACACCGCAGAGAGCCTCGAGCCGACAAACAGAACAAGAACTAAAAAAAAAAAAAAAAGGGCTACTTGGTTTTTATCAACTCAATCTACTCAGCAGCGAAACGAAAGGATGAACAACAGGAAGAGCACACGTACCATCTCTTACGGGGCAAAAGATCGAACACCCAACAAGAAAAAAGACCTGCCCAAGAAAACCCAAGTCAGAATAGCCACAGAACTTTCGGCCAAATCTAAGGAAAGCTCTCAAATCAGATCGCTTTCGGCACACGACGGAGGGAGGGGAAAACCCTAACGTTCCTGTGGGAATCGCCGTAAAGCGAAGGACTTGATGGGCTTAAACCCTAAAACCAGCGCGAGAGAACAAGACGTACCTCCGAAACAAGCGAATTCGAACAGGTTCCCAACTTTCAGAAGGACCAAGAAAAGGGCGCTGCTTCTTCTTCGACGTTTCTCTTGCTTTTCCCAGAGAGAGAGAGAGAGAGAGAGGAGAGAGAGAGAGATCAAAGTGAAGACCTTTCTTTCCAGTTTCCACTACTTGAGCGTAGGTGGAGCTGTGAAAACAGGAGGAGAAGATCTTTTTAAATAAGCGAAAAAAATCGAAAATTCATTTCCTGTTCTGGAATTTCTTTTCGCCGAACGTCCGTGATTGATATTATTATTTGCTTGGGAGGGCAATTTTGCATATAACCATCGGTATATTTGTGAAAAGCAAAACAAATTAGTGTACGTGTCTTAAAAGATATTTGCTATTTTATGTTCGGCGGCTTAAGTAATGGCTAGTCGTTAAACTTATGCATCAAGTGGTATATATATAGTGTATGTACTGAGTACATTTAGATTTTTCTACAACATAAGACCTGAATTGTATTATAACCATAACAAATTAGATTTATTTTGTTTAATGGAATCAACTCGAGCAATTTATTAGCCTTTTCATCTTCTTTTATTGTGTTGTTTCCTGGCATAATAAGAGAATTCGGGTATTGAATTCGTGAACTCCATGTCAGAGAAGAGAAAAATTCTCACTAAGGATTTTGTTATCTATAATATTAGGTTTTGTTTTGAATGATTTTTACTTCTTATGTTTTACTTAATTTAAATCTTAAAACGCGCCTGCTTTGACTTTTTATTTAGTTATAAACTCTTGAAACTTTCACAACACTCAAATGTTTACATAAAATGGACGGATAATTGTTTCACAATTTTTTTTAATTCATATAATATTTTAAATTTGAAAGGGAAAATAAAAAAAATCATATTTTGTTTTTGCTTCAGTACATACCAATAAGCCCTTCTAAAGTAAATAAGACTTCACACTTCAAAGAAATCACAACCCTTTTTTTATACTCAAAGTATCTTCAATTAGTTATTTTATAGGCATTCTATCAATGAAAGAACTTGTAAATTAATAATCTTATTTTATCCCTTTCAAATTGCCTTTTATATTCAAAGTGCACTTTCGCTAGTCTTGTTTTATCGAAACTCTCTTTTCAATCAGTCCTAGATTTTTCTACTTAGCTAATTAAAAAGGAATGGCGAAATACAATTAATTAAGGGAATTATGAAATTAAATCGCAATAACATCAGGAACGTTTGTATATATGTACACTGCTAACCACATTAATGGCAAATGTAATTGAATCAAGGTCCTCGCAAATTGTTCATTGAGGAAATCCAGAATTCTGAAGACTAGATTTATACAACAATTGCATGAACAACCTCCTATCCATCATCATCAGGCAGCTAAAAGAGTGCTGCCGACGGTCGGATCATCGCATAAGTTACAAGGCTTAATTACCTCAGTTCATGGCAGCATCAAGCATGAATCGTCAAAACTAAGCAGAGTCTTCATCTGACGTTTTGCAAATCGCCGTCAAGTCGACCAAATGACGCATGGTCGGCCTTCCATGGGGGCAGTTCCAAGGAGACTTGAGATCTGCCAAATGTTCAAGTATCTGCACCAAAGATGGGTCGGACAGCAAACCAATTATATCACTGTCGTTTTGTCATCAACGGTTAGCCAACAAAAGTCCCAGGTAAGACCATGTAGGAAGTTAGCAGCACAGAGGAGGCGCATTTGCGCAAGACTTTTGCATTAAATCACGCTCGATGACTATTCCAGATAGTGGAATCATCTAGCCATCCAAGGTAAATAAGCTTCGCTAGAGGGGGAAAATATCCATAAAAGGCAAAATGACACACCAATCACCTTTTGCATCTCGCTTTTTCCGAGAGGATCTCCAATCTTGACAGAGGATCTACATGCCCGCGATGCCAGCATCGCACGAACTCTAGATGGGCATACAGAACTGACAGTGTCCGATCTGTAAGAACCAAGTATCGAGCATTCCCCATGGCCATCAGCGAGAGTGGAGATCAGGTCTTTGACATCTGTTTACAAAGCAAATCAGCGTTCTACATCTTGAGTAGAGTAATTTCGGCTACTACAGAAGTATCTGCAGAGGTGACTTTCCTGGACAGAATGTGGAAGTCTACAGTGTAGTTGCATATGCTTATCCGCTTATCAATTGATGCTCTTGGCGCCATAGAGATAAGACGAGATTCTATAAGTCATCATTATCCAGTAAGAGATGGATATAAATTGTTATTTTATTCCAAAGTGACGAGAATGATCTGCCCTTGTTCTTTCTCTCGAGATATTTTCTTCATAATGCTTTCAGCTTGCATTCCAGAGGCACGGTTTAAATCACCAAAAAAGGTTAATCTGCATAATTTTGACCCTTCCAAGATCTGACACACAAGAAACCTGACATCCTTAAATTCATTTTCAGTTTTACCTTTCATCAAATAGCATATGATTTGTTGGCCAAAATTAAGGACACGTTTAAATCTTCTTATGAAATAATTCCATGTCCTGTATGAGTGTCTAGATAGTATAGCTTTGACTTAATAGCTCAAAAGGGTTATCAGATGGATGCTCAACACAAAAGCTTGACTGAACAGTCTGTAATTACCATTGCCTTGAAAGAGGGAATCTAAAGAGGAAGTACCTTCTACTCCGAAGGTTATGTTTTTACTGAAGGGAACGGCCGTTAGTCTAAAATGGCATCCTGGTGGAGCATGTGGATCTTCTTTGAGAACAAAACCATTCTTCCTGAAGTTTAGAAGACACAAACGTCACGTCACCATGAAATGAAACACCGCATGTTGAATGCATAACAAAGTTGTGGCATGTAGTACAATCACCAGACAGAGAATGCTCAACACAAATGAAAATGACATTTGTATTTCCACTTGCTAGTTGTCTAAGGACTTAATTATCACCCTAGAAATTAGGATAGCGGACTGCAAGTGTAGCTATGAATAACGATAAAAGACATTGTCACAAGAATGCTGTGTTGCTAGTTGTATGTGCCAACTGCATATATGAATTATTTCAATCTTTGTTCTTTTTTCTTTTCAAATTTGCCTGCTTCAGTCCAGAGAACCATCCTCAACACCCTTAATGTCTCCAAAACTTCTCTTATTACCTGAACACCTAGCATTCTGAGTACCAAGAGATTTGCTCCAAAATCGTCAGCATCGTCAAGATGGTTATGAGAAGCCATGGAATTTTGAGGGAAGAAAGAACCGTAGGAACTATTTTTGGCTGACAAGTTATTATTTTCATTCTCCTGCCTTCCTCTATCACATCCTTTGTTTATTCTATCTTGAAACTGCTGGCGATTTGGTGGCAAATATGAAAATTCTAAAAACTGTGTAAAAACCAGATCATATCAAGATTGCACCTGATTGTGTCCATATGCATTGACGCTACCACTTCTTCTTCAGGAGATAACTCCAACCTTAAAGGCCTACATATACAGTTTAGAGTAAAATCAATACTTGAATTTTTTATATTCAAATAAAATGTTTCATACAAAATCTCTGAAAATAAACTTAAGCAAGTAATTCAATCCTAAAACCAAGTCCAAACTTTGCAAGTATGGTAAATACACAACTGTTTTCTGCCCAAGTAACTTATCGCTTTAACCATGGCATATAGAAAGCACATAGAGTATTATTAGCACTGACATTTGCATCTACCTGATTATCATGCAAGGTCAACACAGGTATTGCCAAATGATTCAAAGAGTGTGCAGATTCAGTAGCTCTGTTAGCTCTTTGAACATGTATACTTGTACTGGCTGAACATTTTGTTAGAACATAAAGAAGTCCTACGCGTGTTGTTCAGCCGCCTTCTCTTAATAAACAAGATAAAATCTCCAAACGTAAACCATGGAATCCTGAAGCTAGGACACTAGTAGACTAGTTTAGCATGCATAGTGACCTTTAATGTCAAAGCTTTAAGCCTTGAACAATGAAAACGGATACTCCAAACACATCTCAAGGTTGCAGCACCTAATCTCATGATACCAGGATCTTTTAACTTATCATTTTTTGGGAAAAAAGACACATCTTGGAGGAAATCCCAAGACAACATACCCGAGCAGGTTCTTCCATGTTCTCTCAACAAGTAGAAACCGACACTTGGTATTCACAACGGGAAATGACATGATGATATTAAGCTCAATGAAGCAGGTATTAAGCTCCTCACCTCAGTAAAGGCTGTTGGTTCAAGATGGTGGAATGACAGAGATGCTCAAAATTAAACTTCTCATCAGCAGCATGCTGCAGAGAAAAGACTTGGAATCACTCATCCATCTTAGCTTAAGCGGTCGAATGAAAATTGCAGGAAAGATGCAACAAAAGCTCATCATTTGGCAAAGAAGGGCAGAAAATTTGATAACCGAGGCAGAATTAAGCTCTGAAACAATGTTTGAATTTACCTGATCCACTATAAATAAGTCTTCATCTAACTTGCCAATGATAAAACCAACGTTGAATTGCCCCATTACCTGCAGAATGAAATACACAGATAACAGTGTTAATGTACACGAGCTGCCAAAAAATCGACATAATTGAGCAATTGACGGTAGCTAATATACTATTCAGTACGTGCGCTCAATATGTCTCCACTGGGGGTTATTGACAAGGAAGTGGCCAGTTGCCACACATGAGAAGCAAAACCTCAGTTTAGTCAAGGTGTCATGCTTCCTTATCACACAGTAAAAGGGGATCCAGAAAAGAACAACAGCCATGTCTCCCACAACACTCTGCTATCTCGGTTTACTAAAGCAAATCTAAGGGAGACATACAAGCTGATGCTCAAACATTTCTACGTTCATGACAAATATATGATTTATGACCTGCATTCGACGAAAATCTTCTTTCTTGAAACATATTTCCAACTCCTTTGTTGCTGCAGCTAAAGCCCTTGCTTTTCGCTCCTCATTGTCTGGCTGAGAAAGCTCCAATGTTGCAGCAGCATACTGTCTACGAATTAGCATCGGCACCTTTTTTTATCAGAAACAGAATGAACTTTTGACTATCAGTCCTATCACAAAAGTAAAATTGCGGACCTTTTTGACTTCACACTCCTACATATATAAGCCCCTGACTGCAATCTCGAGAGCCTCTTCTGTCGTCTTGTCTGTAGCTCTTGAAAACAAAATTGCAAAGTAGAAAACATCCTTTCACTAGGCAAAGGCATCTGAGTATCTAATGTGGATCCAGAAGCTAGAAAAGAGGTATCTGATGCACAAAGATCTTCCGCCAAATTGTCGTTGTCCTTGCTGATTAAAACTTCCTCAGCAAGAGGCAATACTTTCTCCTGATCCACTAGTATCTATGAGAGGAAGAGACCACGAAAAAAAATTCAAAAACTGACAATTGAATCACTAGAAAAATACTGTTGTTAGATGAGGTGGCTACAAATTCTTGTCATGAGAGAAGGCTACAGTAAAGTATGCATCTAGCTATTGCAAAAAATGCCACCCAGTTTGCTTTGCCCGGAGAGTATAGCAGTCAGTAAAATAAAAGGGATGCATATTACTAACAATCTCTATTTATTGAGGGGATAAAATAACTAGCTAGTTACAATTCCAGCAATTACCAACTCTCTTCAATAAAGGATGCTTTGTGTTAACCAAATAATGAATTCTGAAGCAATCAGGAAGCAATTTATGGCCTAAATTGAGTCCAGCGGGCATGACCAATCATAGTGCTCCTGAAAATTGGGTTGAACCATACACGCAGAAGCAATTCCAGACTTAAGCTAACAATACCAGTGAATAGTGTTCAACCATGAATGAGACATATGAATACTCATTGTAGCCAGCACATCACTTCTCTTCTTTCCATATGGAGGGCAATTTACATAACTCATTTGCTCATTATCGTTCTTGTTTTCATTCGTCTTAGATCCATAGCTTGTCTAAGATTCTTTTGGCCAAACACACAAATAGGACTCAAAGCATTTCATTATAGCATCCCGGCATGCCTAAAAGTCCCAAAGACATATTTTGACAAAACATGGTACAATGCTTAATGGGATCGAGTTGTAGCGTGGTTCATTTTCAACTAAGGTTGTGTGCGTTTGCATTTCCTTTCGGGTGACAGGAAAACACCTAGAGAGCTTTTGTCTGGTATTGAACACAAAAGTTTACAAACTTTATAAAGTAACACAATTATGCTTGAAACTAAGTTCAATATAACAATACACTGTCACGTACCTCCTCAAGCTCTCCCTCATTGATGCTGCCATCAGAAATATCAATTTTTGCAGAGATTTCTTTCTTATGATGCTTGGAGGGCACAAACTCAATTTCTTCATCAGAAACATCAATTTGCTGGTGCTTAGCTGGAGAACTGATGCCGACAGAGTGTATTTTGGAATGGTCCTTCTCCAACGGAAGATGAAGCGTGTGATTTCTTAAGACAGGCATTTCAGATAGTGCAGAAATACTGTTCTCGTGCTTTCTCTTACTTACAGTAACAAAATTTTTAAGTGATGACTGAATACAGCTTGAGCGACATTGAGAATCTCTTTGAGCAATTGGATTCTCAACTGAACCTAATAGGTTTTGAGAATTTTGTTTAACAGCGGTGCCTTTGTGGTGGGCTTTCATTGTGCTGTCACTGAAATAATTAAATTTATCAAGACTGTGAGCTCTCAGACTGAAGCCCCCACCAACTAATTTATCATCTTTATGTTTATTCAATCCTTCCAGTACAGGGGAGGCCTGGATTTCACCTTTGACTTCTCGAGGGGAAACATCTTCATCTGCAGCATGCTCAACGGCAAGATCTCTCGTATGGTCTTCCTCCAAAGCTAATTCTTTAATCAATGGATAAGATTTATCATCGGAAGGATGCATCTTCAAGCCATCCTCTTCCATTGAAGGATCCTCGACCTTGTTAACACAAAAGCTTGCATTGTTTGAGGAATAGATCTGCTGCAAACCCTCCCTTAGGGCATGTAATATGGAGCTTTCATCAGAAAAAAATATTTTCCTTTTGTCAGGGGTTACATTAACATCACAAGCTCTTGTTGGAACAGTGAATTTCATGACTGCAACGGGATACTGCTTTGAGTTTGCACCTTTATATAACTCATTAACAAGCTTGCTTACTTTAGGCATATCGACTGGTCTTCCATTCACGAAAAAGAATTGTCTGTCTCCCAAGTTGCGTCCACTACCCTGTCCAGGCTTGGAAAGAAAACCTTCAACCGTACAATCACCTGAAACACTAATTGTCACAGGCTCTAGGCATTTAAATGTATTCATTCCAAACACTGTTATGATGTTATCTTTGAGAGAGCCACTTCCTTGTGTTTTAAGTACGACAGACTTTGCATTTCTTCCAGTTGTGTTGGTGCAAACAATCCGAACTCCCTTGGCAATAAGAGCATAGGCCTGCAAATCAAAGTAATTGAGGGAAATGCAAATTTTATAATTAATCTCCTAGGTAATTTACAAGGATGCCGAAGCTGCACCAAAGAAATAACAAAATTCCATACTTCAAATGCTAAACCGAAGAACTTGCATGGATAATGATACAGAAGAACAACACAGTGGCAGAAGTGTGATCTACTGAATCTCCCATAGGATAATCAGAGTCTAAATGCAACTTGAACCATAATCCAAAAAAAAAAAAAAGCACCTAAACTAATTATACAAAGAAAACCACTCGTCGATAAAGCCTGCGAAAATCAATATTGCAGAAAAGATGCACCTAGTTTCCGACACAAATACCTAACAAACTACTATGCTCCAAATCAATATGTTCAGATTTATAAACAATGGTAGAACATGTATAGATATTGAGCTTGCCAATTTAGCAACAGTGTGATACTCAGCAGACGTAAAGTATGTAGCCAAAGATAATAAGAGGTGAGATGGTATTGAAGGATATTTTACCATATCGATAATAATATAATTGAATTCGTGAAGCTAATATGAAACACTCACATTCATTAAAGATATCAATTTCCCATATTCTTTACGGATATTGCGGCTAAATTCTTTGCTTCGCACTGGCAGATTCGAGAATAGCTTTTTGACAGTAACCGTTGTCCCAACTTGACGTGCTGTCTTCTTCTCAGCGATTAGCAAACCCGAGTGGTCAAAAGTCAAGTGCGTGGCGACTGACTCATCTTTCGTCCTTGTCTCGACTGTTAAGTTCCCTAAGGCACAGAGGGAGCTCAATGCCTCGCCTCTAAAGCCAAACGTCGTCAGCGACTGAAGATCCGGAAAATCAGCTAGCTTGGAGGTGTGATGTTTAAGGGCAAGAACCTGCATTGATCAAGGACTCAGCCGACATTAAGCAAAGTCTTGATAAAAGACGAGAAAAAAAAGGCTAGTATCAAGCACGAAATTAGTTGCAGGAGATCCACTACATTAGGAGATAGGATTCAACTGCGCCGTTCCCCACCAAACAACTTGTGTTTTTTTTTTTTTTTTTGAGTAATCAGAGACTACTGTCCTGCTTTCAATAAGCCACATTCTCTTTTCTTGTTTCCTTATTCATCATCCGTTTACCCACCCATCCTTCTACCGATCATCGTAGTGCTTTTCTGTCAAGGTTAAATCTTTGAGCAATCACATCCACGTTCAGTTCAACTATCATTGCCCTACAGTACGATGGAGATCGAGGATCAGAATGGATGCCACTCCAGCATCGACCGAGCTCAATCAACACGCCCTAGCCACTCGCTCACTACTGCACAGCACGAAGAGTCCACGTCCCCGACAGGCACATATAGTCCCGCCCACCCGAGAGCGACGCAAGACGAGCAAACACTACCTTGAAGCTGCTCGGCGGAATGCCGCAACCGTTGTCGACGACCTGGAACCACTCCTGCCCGTACTCTTTGAGGGCGATCTCGACGCTGGTGGCGCCGGCGTCGAGGCTGTTCTCGACGAGCTCCTTGACGGCGGAGGAGAGGTCGAGGATCACCTGGCCGGAGCATATCCGGTGGACGGCGCTCTTGTTGATGGGCCGGATGGCGGGAGGAGGAGAAGCCCCCGGCCCCTCCGCCTCCATCGGAGGGGGGCCGAAGCCCTAATCACACGAACGCCGGAGTCGCACGTCTCGCCGTCGGAGGCCGGTTAATTAGTGCGAAGATAAGGCGAAAGGCGCCGATTCCGTGGGAGTTAGCAATAGAATGAACGGAGGACTGAGAACACCACGTGCCGGAGAGAGCGACGGAGTCGGGGTGTTCGGCGTTCGCGGCGGGTTTTGCCGCCAAAACTGGGAGGATATCCGAGCGGTGGTAAACTCGTAAATACGAAGCGCCGGTGAGTCCGTAATTGGAAAAGCATTTCGATCAGTCTTTTCTTTTTTTCGAGAAAATTGTCCAAAAAGTTATAAACATATTACACTTTTGACAATTAAATAATAAATTTTTCAATTTTATCAATTGAATCCTAAACATTTTCACTTCTTACGAACTAAATCCATCTAAAATCGCTGACGTCAACGCCGACAAAACCACGTGGACATTTTTAAATAATATTTATATATTTTTTAATGATTTTTTTTCCTTCTCCCTATTTTTTTGGGGGGGTTTTGGAGTTAGGCCTATCAAAAAGGAAAAAAAATATAAAAATTCAGAATATTATTAAAATATATATTTTAAAATGTTCACATCAGCACCACATAGCTAACCAACGTTCACGTCAGCAATTTCCAGCAAAAATTGACTGAATAAACTCAATTGGCAATAAGTAAGACGGTTTATGACTTAATTGACAAAATTGAAAGATTATGGTGAAAAGCCTGAGGGATGAAACATACAGACAATTGGGAGTACTAGTGGTAATTCCGGCTTTGAAAAACATGAAAGTTGGGTTGCTTTTATGTTTATAACTTTTTGGACAATTTGTCTCTGTTTTTTTGTTCGTGGGACAATTATCAAAATTCTTCCCATGACTTAAGCTATGTTTGTTTGAGCGAAATTTTTTTTCGCAAATTAATTTTATGGATTTTCAAGTGTTTGGTTTACTAATCAATCAATGGAAAACCAATTATGGTCAAAAGAAATATTACATGATTAAAGTAAGGAAAATGAATCCTTATTTTGAAGCATTTGCCTTTATTGTGGAGAGTACGCTTGTTTTGTTGAAAACTTCGTGATAAAAAAAATATTTTCCATATAAATCATTTTCATTTGTTTGATGGTGTAAGAAAAATGATTTCCACCAAAATAAAACGCCATTTTTCCTCAATTTAAGCTTGTTGGTTTTAATCCATGAAAGACATTTTTTTGTAGATTGATTAGTTTTCCGTCACCTAAACTCCAAAAAGTCAAAAAATAATTTCCAGAAAACCCAATAGTTTTTCCTTCAAACGAATGGACTTGTTTTTCCGAAATAAACACACCCCAATACTGATAATGTAAACTCAGTGCTTAGCAATTTTTGGGGAGGCAAAGGGAGGTTCATGCACAATCACTAGAATTAGGTTTCAAATGTGAACGATATGTGCTGATTATTTTTACTAAGGCTCCGTTCGTTTGGCAATGGAAGTCATTTTCCTGAAAAATGTTTTTCCGAAACATAATTTTTCGGTGTTCGGCGACCAATATGAAAAAGTTTCGGAAAATATTTTTCGTCGGCTGACGAGCGGCGGCGCGGCGACCTTAGTGAAGAAGAAGCTCCGGAAAATGATTTCGAGCTTTTGAAGAAGCTCCGGAAAATGATTTCCGCTTTTGAAGAAGCGGAAGTCATTTTCCATGACTTAGGCTATTTTGTGAGGGGGAAGGAAAATATTTTCCCACGGAAAACATTTTCCGCCCCGAACACTGAAAACCGGAAAATATTTTCCGGGAGAATATTTTCCGCCAAACGAACGGAGTCTAAAGTGCATTTATTTCACTGAAAATTTCAAGATAATTTTTTTCTTTGAAAATCATTTTAAAGCAAAATAGTTAGTTTTCATTTGTTTGATGATTTAGGAAAATTGATTTTTTTCTTGTCAGAAAGGGAATTCGTTTCCTCCAATTTAAGCTTGTTGTTTTCAGTTCATGAAAAATGTTTTTCATTAAGAAAGTCAGTTTATCGGAAACAAATTTCCTTTAAATGCGCAAAATGATGGTGATTTGAAAAATATTTTCTTAAAAATAATTACTTGTATTGCTTAAAATAATTAGTCAATGAAAATATTTTTGTTATTCATAATAGTTTATATCTAAATATTTTTGTGAACGATAGCACTAAACGTAATTTATGTGGATATATTTTCCTAATCATTCACTACCTACGAAACAAACAGAACCTATGTCCAACACATTTGGTACGTGAGTGACTCGAGCGAAATATATGGGTCTACTAATCGCGTTCGTAAGTGATTATTTTTAACTAAAAAGAAAAATATCAAGTTACATAACATAAGGATGAAGTGTACAGATATATTTGACTTGTAATTCCCCTTCATCGAAATGAAAATATTTATCCATTAGTGCGATCTCCGATTTTTAAGTTATTAAGCTCGGCGATCATATTATTAATGCGCATTGTGTCGTGTCGTATAAAACTTCCATAACATAAATCAGAGTTATTAAGCTCGGCGATCATATTAACAACGCACGTTGCGTCGTGTCGTATCATATAAAACTTTGGTAGCATAAATCGGACCATCATGTCAGAAATATGGAATAGCTTCTTATTGGGGACGTCTCGTCTCAACGGAACATAGATTCTGCACTCGCACCCAAAATCCCATTTTGTCATCGGCCGAAAAAGACGGGAGGAAAACGATCAAACCAAACGGAACCTCGAAAGCAAACGCGACTCATGGAAAGCGACAAGAGCTATTGGGCCGTCGCAACCTCCCCGTTCGCGGCGGCGGCGGCCGGCCCGCGCTCCGCCTCGTCGAACGCCTTCGCGATCCGATCCAGCGGGACCAGCGGCAGGTAGCCCGACACCGGGTAGCCCCTCTCCGCCGCGAAGCACACCGCCCTGTTGTACTTGTCGGCCCAGTAGGCCACCGTGGGCACGGCTATCTCCGCCACCCGCGGGAAGAGCGGCAGCCGATTCAGGCGGTGCCAGGCGGCCACGGCGTACTCCTCCGCCACCGGCTCCAACCTCTTGCACCCGCTCCTCGCGGCCTCGGCGAAGCCGGCGCGCTGCACCTCCGAGGCCACGGCTCGGGCTTGGCTCGACGCTTGCTTCACCAGCGACGGCACGAGGCTGTCCAGCTCGTGCACGTACTCGTCAACCTGCCAAATCAACTCGAAATCAAAACGCCAGAGCACAATCATATCCATAGCAACGTTTCTTCATCCCAAGAAAATTTGCCTGCAACGTCGTCCAGCACATGCGGCACTAACGTTATGGAAACACGAACGTAACGAGGCCACAAAACACAACGTGCACCGCAGCCTAACAGTGACCTTGGAGTCGACGAAGCGGAGGATCTCGAAGGGAACGTCTTGGAACCTGTCGCAGAGCGGTCCGACGACGGCCTTGACGGTGGCCTCGACGGTCTGGACGCCCGGCCTGAGCGGGCCGGAGTTGTCCTTGGCGAATTCGTAGAGAGTGGAGAAGCAGATGACCATGTAAATCACGGCCATCTGAACGAAATCCAGGTACTTGAGCCTCCTCTCATTGTACTCAACCTATATACATAGAAAAAGAAAGGAATTCACCAAAAAATTCTGCACAAAAACCGACCCGAAACCCAGATATACAATCCCATTCCGTAGTTCTAATGGGAACCGGTTGAGGTCACTCTTTAAGAAGTTCGAGTTTCTTCCCTTCTTTCGCGTTCGACAACATACATCATCGTTCGATTCTTCGCCTCCGTTCGACTCGAGTGATCGTTTTCGAGAGATGCGTGCGAATTTGCTTCTGTGCATGGAAATCGGGAAAACTGACTTACGTTCTGGGTTTGCGTTCTGGGCTCAGAATCCGCCATTGTCGTTTCTCTAAACCCTAACGTCGGGGGATGCTGCGAAAGAGGCCTGCGAAGAACGGCTTTGCGAAGGACGGACTTTGTTTTTATGAAGGGGGGACGATCCCCGTCGCGTAGGCGAACGATCCGACCCCGGAAAAAAGCAACGGCTCCCCAATCCGAGCCATGCTGCCACCTGGCGCGCGGTGATTGGCGGGATCAGGTCACGGGGCATTCAAACGTTGACGGCTTCCGCGCTGACGCTGGCGATTGCGTCACAGGGGGCGGGGGACGGTCCGTGCGGGCGGGCCCCGCTCGGGACACGTGGAGGGCGCTCGGTCGAGGCGCGGTGGGACGATGGCGACGCGTGGCGTGGTGCATGGGATCGGCATTGGCTGGCACGGAAGACGAGGCGAGCAGAGGCTCGGGGCACGAGGTTCGAAGGAGATGGGGGGGGGATCACGTTCCTCCTGCTTGCTTTATCATGGGCCGTGGGCCGTCTTCTCTGCTGTATTTATCACGAAAAAATGACACAAACAGTCCATGAATTTTGATTCAATATGCAATTTGGTCCATGAACTTTTAATTTATTCAATGTAGTCCCTCAACTTTAACCTAATATTCAATATGGTCCCTGAACTTTCAATTTGTTCAATGTGGTCCCTGAATATTTGGTACATGTTCAATATAGTCCGTGAACTTTATAAAAATATTCAATGTAGTCATTCCATTAATTCAAGTTCAGGAACTATATTGTATATTTTCATATAGTTCAGGGACTAAATTGAACATTTACTAAAAGTTTAGGGACCAAGTTGAACAAATTGAAAGTTCGGGGACCACATTGAACATTGGGTTAAAGTTCAAGGACTACATTGAACAAATTAAAAGTTCGGGGACCAAATTACACATTGAGCCAAAGTTCAGGGACTGTTTGTGTCATTATCCCATTTATTATCACCGTAGATCAGATCACAGAGAATATAGGGATACCGGAATCGTTTCAGTTATTTCGTAACGGTCTGGACGTGTCAGGCTACTTGCGGTCGCTTCAGAAGCATATAAACTTCATTGCTGATGTTAATGTAGCTACCTGGTCCTAAGCAAAACCTTGTAGTGTTTCATCCAGAGGTAAACCAAAATCCTCGCGGTCCTGTGGATGTTAAGTAATTAGAGGATATCCCCACATCTTTGGAAAGAAAAAGATGTGGGAAAATTGAGGGGAGGCATGGTGTGCGAGTGGTGTGCTTCCGTGAAGTGTGTCCCGATTAGAGGGGACAGGCCGTGGGAGCCCCTGCGTGGAGCTAAAAAGCTGCCTTCCTTTGGCACTATTAATTGGGGTGAAATGGACGCACCTGCGGCCCTCCATGCCCGTCACCGTTGCATGCCGGGCCGGCCCTGCCCGACGCGTGATGGGGCGGTGACGTTTGTGGGCCGAATCACTTTTTCAAAAGACTAGAAGCCCAATAGTTACTGATGACCGGGCCACGACGGCCCATCAGTAGCCAGTCATCAGATTGGCAAAAGGGCCCATTTTTGGGCCCAGAAGACGTCAGTTTTTATACGCCAATTGGATCGGGCTGGCCCAGCACATTTCCAGTTCCGGGCCGGCCCAGCACGACCCATCCTGCAACCGGGCATGGCCTAGAGGGGGTCGTTTGCCATTTATGACAGTTATGGAGACTTGCAGAAAGAACAGAAGGAAGGGGATGTGTACACAAGACATGCACGGAAGGAAAAATAATGAGGGGAAATCAAAATGGAGAAGGTTAAGATTCTCTATCTTTGCCTTTGTTCGTTGTTCGATTTACTAACAAAATAAAAGAATATAAAGACAATTCGGGACAAGTCGTTGATCATTACTCTATAGTCATATGCTATTTCACGCACCGAATCATGGCATATGAACATTTTACAATGTGTTTAGGCATATAAAAAGAGAACCCGCCAAATCTTAAGACACTCTCTATCCCTTCCTTCCCTGAGGCCTCTTGCCACCACCTCGCCTCGGCGCACCATAGTTATGATGATTGTCGACTCACAAACACACGCTCTCTCCTGATCTCTCTCTTGCATGTGCACGCACCGGTGTATAGCTAGAGTTTGATATCGACTGCGAGCCTACAGTTACAAAGCTTGCCTTGGGCAAGTTGCTCATGACAAGAGAGAGAAGTCGGTTCGGGTATTTTTGACACCTCTAACGACAAGGACGGCCAATCCATAATAATTTGTATCATATGGGGACCGTATGACTATATTTAAGCGCTATGTGCATTTAGAACGGCACTCGAAAATAAAAAAAGTTTTCGATCGTGACTTTTGCAAACGCGTCGCTGATTTTGAGTTCGTATCTACTATCCGCAACCTTCGAGGCCTGAAAGGAGGCTCTGACCACCTTCAGCTCATCGAAAGTTTCAGCCTATTGAAAGTTTCAGCCTACTTTGAAAGAAATATGAGTAAATCTTAATTTTTTTTTATTAATTCGTGGGACGAAACGTGGCTGGATATTTCTTTTTTACCCTGGCTCGAAAGTTGCACTAATCAAAGGAAAATTTACAAGTTTCTTTTTGCGAAATTAGCACCGACGGAAGTCAAAATCAACGCTTTGAAGGCCAGGAGGTCAACATTTCACTATGCCAAGGCTTTCGTTGCATGTTATCTCGACGAAATTTCTTTCTGTTTACCAACCATATTCTTGTGTTCATACATCTTTTTCTTTGACAGAAGGGATGCTGCAGAAAATATGTGCTGTCTATATCTCCAGCCGACATCTTTCCTCATGGGGGGCTCTCCTATTCCCCCAGAAGTCATGTAGGAATTGCACGATTAACATATTCATGATTCGAATTAGCACACAAATTAGAATGGAACCTGAAAATTAGATGCATAAGAACATAGAACAAGCACACAGGTGTGTCAATCCATAACGAGAGCGACATTACAGCATTGGCAGAATAGATAGACAGATAGAGCAAGTCGATTAAGCAGAGGGAACCGAGAAGACTTGAAGTTCTAGATCGACGGTGGGTTCGTTTCGCTTAGCCGCGGCACTGCGTCACGGCGGAGCACGAGCGGCTGTAAGGGTTGGACTGCGCGCCGGGCTGGCAGTTGTAGTAGGAGGCGCCCCGCTGCGAGCACGGCACCGTGTTCCGCTGCAGCGCCCCGTAGCTTATGTACTGCGTCGTCGCCAGCACCCGCCGGTTCACCTCCGTGTCCATGTCGAACTCGCCGTTCTGCTCGGCCATGCACTCCGCGATCGACCCCTCGCACCGGCCCGCCCTGGAGGCGGCGGCGGCGGACATCCAGGTGAGCCCGTCGATGCCGCCGGCCGAGGCGGCGGACGTGGAGATGGCGGCGGCGATGAGCGAGGTGAGGAAGAGGGCGTGGAAAGTGAGGAGAGAAGAAGAGGCCATTTGTGATCGATGGACTTGGCGTTGGTTTTGGCTTTGGATTGATTGATGGTGATTCTTTTATATAATTCCGTTTGGTATTGGTACGTGAGACTTTTGGTGCATTGGACAAGAAACGAGATTAAAATATAGGTTTAATTAATCTCATTAAGGACACTTTTTTTTATCATAATCACGAAAGTGCCACTTCAAATGCACTCCGTATACTTCCGTCTCATTTCATTTCGCAATGGTATTTCATTAATTTTGGCTTTCGTTTGTTTCACCAAAAATGATTGATTTAAAAAAAACGACCACTCGTATCGTTTGAAATAATTTAGTTAATAAAAAAATATTTTCTTTATCGACAACAATGTTTATCTAAATATTTTCGTGGACGATGAATCTATTTTTCGTTTATTCATTTTTATAAGTGATAAATCGATCTCTTTTAGGAAAATATTATCAAAATCATTCATTTTCCGGGAAACAAATGGAGCCTTGATGATATTTGATTTTACATGAATATAAACACAGGTTTTATACGAGTTATTTAAAAAAAAAAGGATTTTCAAGATTTATATGGGTATTCAAATGAGCGGGAAGCTCTTTATAAAAAGAAAGCCAATTTACTGCATTAAATAATCCTTAAACCTTTTGGCATGTCGAATTAGTACATACGTTAGAAATTCTTGGTAACTCTTGACATTAGTAGAAAAAGAAATACTTGTACAATATCATACACGATACACTTACCATGCCGGCATGCACTAATACGAAGCTTCAAGGTAACTTGCCAAGAAGAAAACATCAATAGCGACGACAATCCTGCCTCCATGTATTTTGGTCTTCATTTCTGCATCGCCTATTTTTTGGGAGGTAAGTATCAATTACTCGAGTGATCTGAGACTATTTGTCACGGGCCGACAGATTCTTGATTGTGAAATAACCCGTGTGACACTTGGTGAGTCGAGAACATCGGGCCAACCTTTCTTCTATAGTTGTTCCTAAAAACAGTATGATGAATGGTATCCTCGTATCGAATTGTACCATATTCAGTTTAGCTGGGTCATAAAGTCCCTCGAGTGAGATACGTAGAACACTTCGGCATGACGATTGGTTTCGGCCTGCCATGGCCTCATCAGGAGAGTGGGATCAACTCCTTACCAGTCTGTGAACTCGCATTTAGAGCTCCTCAGAGATACAATCGTTCTATCCTAGAACTTTTAGCACAAACCCCTCGATGTCACTCTTGTAGACCAATTGCATCATCCTCTCTGCCTCGCTCACTCTTCACTCCGACGCCACGAAACTCCATTCACAAGGGCACAAGAGTACAAGAGAATTCAGTCCGTGACACATAACCCTCTCTTCCCTAACCTCGAGCAGTGGTTTAATAAAAGACCCGGCAATTCCTTCCTTTTTCCCTAATAATCTAAGTGGAAAAAACATCAATCAGGTCTGGTTACTGTTAGAATTTTTAAAATTCGGCTATGATTTCATCTAATAATTTAAATTTTCAGGATAATTGACAGTGATCCTACAAAACCTTCAAATGATACGAGAAACAAGAGGCCTTAAGTCGAAAGCGATTTTATAAAATTTTGCGCTTGCTACACATTAACCATGTATTGCTGCTGTACACTCACATAGTGGTGGCCCGGTCGAGGACTCGACATGCTCAGGCATCCTAAGCCGAGCTTTCAGGTTCGAATCAAAATGCTACCCATTAGCGCGCCGAAATTTTCCTCTATTGATCGAGAAGCGCGTCCCACGGAGGGCAAGCGGGGGCCTCCGGCAGCGAAAAAACTTACCAAGCGAAAAAATAAATAAAGAAAAAACAAAAATAAAGATGATTAGAGGCACTTCAATATTACTACTAATTTATATAATTTCCTAAAATGCTACGCAAAGAAGGAAGAGGTGGGGGGGGGCAATGATGTAATTATGGGGGAGATTAATGGCTTCTTTCGCAAGACCGCATTCAGTTGACCAATAGCCAAGGGGCGGTGGGCGACGGCGGTTCGAGGGGGTTAGTCCAACCACCGTCGTCGTCAGTTCGGCTGTCTTCATCTTTGCACTCCCTTTCACAAATCATTTCACAAGGCCAGTTCCAACTTCGAAAACAAATTTTTTTAAAAAAATATATATATATATTCGTTGCGATCCAAACTATCTAACTCTTGCCCTTAGGTGAGTATTTTTTATGGGTCCTCCAATCGCGATGTAGTTTCGATTTGCAAATCCTCTTGTTTTTCTCTTTTTCGGAAACCCCGAGTACTTGAAACGGTCAAGAAAACCCGATAATCCTTTTTTTTTTCTTTTTGGTAAGTGACGTTGAGCACCGGAAGTGATTACTCGAACAATTAGGTCATATTCAATACTCAATAGAAATCGCGCAATAACAATTTCATGGATTAAACATTGCATGGATTTAATATATTTTCGTGCGTCTACTTTTAGGTAGGTTTTTGAACAAGTCCATCGCGTTTGTTTCTCAGCACCCAACCCACCGCGTTCGAGTTAAAAATGAGATCGGTGCATGACGATACGAGTCCATGAGAATTTAAATAAAAATGACCATTTCAAAGTCAATATTAAGAAATTAAAAGTGCATTGCTTTGTCACTGTTGATTTTACTAACTATAGTTTGCTTTTTTACGGTGGCTAAATGTTCAATGAAAAAGAACATAATCGGGCTTTTTTCGTAAAAGAAAGCACGACATGTTTTTAGCCAAAGTTTAGTTTTCGGTGCTCATAATACACCAATTTACTCTGTGTTGGGATCACTTGTTATCCGTGTATAGAGTCTAACGTAATATAAAAGTAAAAAGCTTTGAAGATTATTCATCGTGGGATTTTTGAACCTAGAAATGAACATAGACATAATGTAATGATTTCTGACGGGAAAAGTACAAAAAAAATCCTAAACTTATAGCATTGATACCAATTCAGTCATAAACCTCTCAATTGGATCAATTTAATCACAAACATTTTCATATTGGTGCCAATTCAGTCCATCCGACCAATTTAGGTCGGAAATCGCTAACATGAACACCGGTTGTCCTATGTGCACGGTCGGTGGATGGTTGGTGTTGATGTGGAATTTTTAAATGATTATTTTGAATTTTTAATTTTTTTCCTTTTTTTTCTTCCTTCTCTTTTCTTGGGCCTGTGGCCAGTCGCTGGCCGTGGACCGGCCATAGGCAAGGGCCAGCAAGGCAATTGCGGCCCTCACTAGCTCTGGCAAGGATTGGACCCTCATGGCCTGGGCGAGGGCGGCCCTCGCTAGATCTGGTGAGGGTTGGACCCTTGTGGCAAGTTGCCTATGGCCGGTCACCTGCCATAGTCGAGAACCGACCACAGGCATAGGAGAAGAAAGGAAAAAAAAAAGAAAGGAAAAAAAATTAAAATATTCAAAAAATTAAAAATATTATTAAAAATTGTCCACATCAAAGCCGGCCACATAGGAAAGCTGGTGTCCACGTTAGCGATTTTCGACCTAAATTGGCCGGATGGACTAAATTGATACCAATGTGAAAAAAGTTTAGGACTGAATTTGTACAAATGTAATATGTTTAAGACTTTTTTTTGTACTTTTTCCGATTTCTCACGTTATCACTTTACTTTATTTATTATATCAATCATGTCGCCTCAAGAGTTATAAATTATTTTATATTTAAAGCAAAAAAAAAACTTACCAATATTAGCACTTGATTTTTAATTTGATTGGACCATGATAAAGCATAGGGAGTAAGTAGGAGGGAAGAAGAAAAGTACAAGCGTGTGATTTTAAATTGGGGAAAAGTATAAATAAAAAAAGTAAGTAAAGTGTGATGATGAAAGAAACTTTATTAAAGAATTCACTCAAGCTTTCTAACACGCTAGGAAGAATAATGTATTGCCTATGGAAAAAGAAAAGAAAAGAACAAGAACAAGAAAGTCATTTATTCTGTTACGTATGCGTTCAGGAAAATCATTTACCCCATTAAGCATAACTTCCATGATTTCAAATTTATTTAACTGTTATGTGAAATTATCAACCTAAATTAAAGTGACTTAATAACTTTTATTTCCCTTGATTTGAGACCCTTCACAATTTCACAACTCTTTTTAGAGATTACTAACTTAACTTAATACAATTCATGAACTTTTTTTCCCATTGAACTACCACATAGTATTCGGTTATCAACTTTCATTTAAGTTATTTACCAACGTTAATTAGTTTTTTTTTTTAACGATTTGCAATTACCAATTTTTGCTATCGTTTACAAACTTTTATTCGCATATCTTAGTAATGCCTTAAATTTAGCAACTCTCTTTATAAATTACTAACCTTAATTAGAGGAACTCATCAACTTTTCTCCGGTGAATTACCAACTAGTTTTATGTTACCAAGGAAAACAAATGTGGGATTGGTTATTTTGTTGATTAGGAACCCTTTTAAGAGGCGAACTGGGGGTTCAAGAAATGCTTCTCTTTCGCTTGTCATAATGCTCCAATGTCCAAGAAGCATCATTGAATAACTTAGCATATACTATAAGATGGCAGGTGTACGTTTCAAGGCTCATTCTTTGATGATCGATCCCCCCCCCCCCCCCTTATTGGGTCTATCAAAGTTCTTAGTATCTCACGCCTTTTTGAGCCCTTTTTCACGTGCCAAAGCGACCTCTTCTTTTTTCCATACCGTCGATTTGCATGGAAAGCCACACTAGCGTTGAATTATCGAGCTAAACTATTATGTATGTATAATTTTATACTTGGTGCAAATTTTCTCGCAGCTATATATGTTAAAATTGGCGCCGGGACGACTAAGGATACTGTACTCTCTTGATCACTCACGAACCCCAAGAATCCATTAAAAGAAATAGGGAGAACATCATAGAGAAAAAGGAAAAATTCTCCGAAAGATTAAATTGGCCAATTGTCAAAAGGTTTAGGACTAAATTGACAAATAATCAAATGATTTGTGACTAAATTGGGTTAATTAAAAAGTTTATGACTGAAATGGTTGTTGTACAATAGGTTTAAGACTTTTTTTGACGATTCTTCCTTTTTTGCAACTATATCTATCAGAACTATGGTGTAACGAGTTAAGATATGAAGCTAGCAAGTAGTGCCCCCGCCATTACTCCAGAAAAAGAGACATATCAAGTTTTCATGCTCAATCACCTTAGATATGTTAGCCTTAGGGCCTAACATATATCTATTCACACTTGGAACCGATCAATTACAAGTTGAATCAGGACTTGAGTCCGACCTTTGTGAAACTCATGCCCAACGGTAAGGTCGACTTCAAGACTAGCAATGTTGGACTCAATCTCCATTCATAGGAAACAGGGCAAAAATACGAACTACAGGGAAAATACCCAAGTACGACACATCGTATGCGCTTAATTTGCATGTCGACATGAAACGGCGCGTTTCGCTATGTGCGCATCGTTTGAATTGTTAATCAAAAGTTCAAATATTTTAGCGATGGCACGGCCGTTAAGAGAATATGACGCGTTGACACAAATTTTCGAGGCTTCGGAAAGGTCATGTCGAAGCTAAATCAGTGGCCCAGATTGGCCTCATTTTAGCCACTTGTCAAAATCTGTCCATTGGAAAAGTTCTAAACCGGCTGGGCTCGACTTTGACAAAATGTTGGCCGCTTGCTGGACTTGTCGAGCCCGTAGGCTCATGATGTCAATGTTTTCGAGCCTGATTGGCTAATTCAACGGGTCAAACCTCAAACCTGCCGATGTCAATACATACTGTACCATCAGTTAATTCTTATTTCAAAAACTAGTGAGCAAAACTCAGATAGATAAGTTAGTTTCTAGTACCAAAAAATTTAGCTACTTTGAGTAAG